TAGTAGAGAGAAGGAAAAAAATGTTGGCTGTGGTTTTATTAATGGACTTATTCATCGGTTGTGGTTGTAGTTGCGGTTTGAGGAGTAAGACTAGATAGGAATCCGATAATATATTCGGGACAACGGTGACCCTTCACGAAATACTCGTATCTTTTGTTGATCAATGTAATCATCAATTTATCAAGACGACAAGATGAGTTGGACTAATACATGATTCATCAAGTAATAAAATACATTATTTAATTGTATAACAACGAAAAATATTTTGATTTCAAGCAATTATGAGATAGAATATTTTTTTAAAGACATGACATCGATGGTAACATTTGATAGGGTGGGTGCACCAGTGCCGCACCAGGCACCAGTAGTGCACCATTTCCACTTTCACATTAAAATATTAACGTTCTGTCGAATTTTCCGCCACTTTTTTTATATTTGATAGAAATGCCGTACTTCTACGAATCATATAATCGTAAAAAAAACCGACAAATTCGCCATCCACATCAGTTTTTAAAGCAAAATGCGTAACAAGAATCGTGCACTTCGTTTCGAGCGGCCATTCTAATAAGCGACACGTCGACGGAAAGTTTTCTTAATTCTGTTTAAATCTTTGTTTATATCAATTTCTGTAACCGCTTTTCTAATCAATTGCGTACTATGGACTGTGAAGCATTAATATTACGTTTTATTTAATCTGAAAATGCTAATTTAAATCATTAATTGCCATTGGTAAACTACTGGAACACGAATTGAATGATTTTCCAGTAATATACCATTTGGTCTACAACTGGTGATTTAGCTTTTTGATATTTTTTTTTCTTTTTTCTCTTACATTTAGGTTTACTTTATGTTGCAATAAGATATTATAACAAAAAGAATACCATTATTCACAATGTTCCAGTTGTAGACCAGTGGTTTACTACTGGTAGTATCCGTACCACGGATTTATTCCAGTAACTGACCACCTACATTTTTTATACACAATGCCACCGAAAAGAACATTTTTTAACTATAAGGAGAAAAATGTGTTAAAAGCGATAAATGAAATAAATAAAGGTGCAAAAATTGGAGAAATATGTCAAAAATACAACATACCCTACACAACGGTCATAAATAAAATAAAGTTAATAAAATAATAAATAATATTTTTTTCCGAAGTACTTTCATGGTTTTCTATTTATTTTAATTTATTTTATATTAATTTTTTGATTCATGTTAATTCATAAATATTGTGTTATAACTATGACACTTGTGTAAGTGATACAAATTTTTGTTAATTATCTAGTTCTTAAACTAGTTAACAAAATTATGAGCCTTGTAGCATTTAAATATTACTTGAAACTTGTAGACTGATTAAAAGTTGTGATGATTACTACATAAAAAGGAGTGGTTCACTATTGGCTCAACGTCTGGTCTACTGCTGGTACAGTCTGGTCAACCTTAGGCACATTGCGATTTTCCACATTTATTGTTAAATAACCAAAAACGTAACAGTTATTAAGAAAATTTGAATAAGCTACATGATTCTATGGTAGACAAGGAGTATATAATCCTTTTTTGCAATGATTGTAGTAATAATTGAGTCACAATATCAAAATTACTTTCAAAATGTCGCTTAATTGGTTTGTTACTGGTGCAGTCACCCTATATTGTTGTGGTTATGCAACCCAACATACACACAACTTGCGATGCAAATTTCTATAACTTAAGCATGATTTTTCAGCTAATTTGTTGGGGTGCACGTTGCATTACTACAAAATCATTAAAACAAAACACAAGTGAATACAACTGAGTGACGCGGAATTCATATTTAGACTTCAGGAAATATTTACCGGCATTTTTACAAGAGTAATTGAGTTTATAACCAACGCAACAAATGATTAAACAGTTGCCTATTACGTAAAATCTCAATATTTGGTTATGTTTTGTTCCACGATGTAACGACATCTTTATAAACCTTGTTATAAAGATGTTAGACTACATTTTGCTATAATTTTAGCAGCAAAACTAGTTAAAAGATTTTTTTACTACAAGAAGTGAATGAAATAAACAAATTTTCATGATTTTCTTTAAAAATCCAGTAAATTTAGGGCAAAAACTGAAATTTACTCAAGAAAACAATGTTTTTCTATGTATTTTATGTATTTTTCTGTTAAAACGGATCAAAATCCTTCCAAAAAGACCAAAAATCTTTAAAAACAGTAAAAAAATTTACTAGCGTAATTAGGTTATAGCTGCACAACTAATGATTAAACAGTTGCCTATCACGTAAAATATCACGTTAATATTTGGTTTTAAAGAGGTTACACTATATTTTCCAATAGTTCTTGCTGTAAAACTTGTTAAAAGTCTTTTTAACTACGAGAAATGAATGAAAAAAACAAATTTTCATGATTTTCTTCAAAAATTTTTTGTTCTTCCAAGTAAGATTTCACTTTAAAATGAAAAAAACGGTTTAAATTCTATTTTAAGGCAGCTTAACTTGTCACTAAGCAAATCTCCGCCTCAATATTTACCGTTTAGCCTATACTCATAATTTTCTAGGGTCTAAAAGGGCCCGTAAACCACTTGTAAATTCTAATTATAACCCAAGACTTAAAAACCGCTTACTGCCTTCACCGGATGATTATGGCCGCCGCAACAACGGTGAATTCAAGTGTGACATGTGTGGCGCGTGTCCCAGCCACATCCTTTCTTATTTTATTATATTCAACGTCCACGGTATGTTTCTTACGTGCGTGCGCCTAATGAATGCATTGTTTTCGTGTTTAACGGCGATTTGGAAGCTTAAACGTGATTGCCACACACATACACACACTTCCTGTTAATTAATATCCGCAACAAACATTTCAAACACAAAATTTCAATCGTAAACACTCTGTATATTATTTAAAATGTTGCAATTTCTATGTGTAGTGCTACATTTTAATTTGTACAGCTTTGGCAGGTCAAAAAGGGTCCGCCGGCAGGTAAAACCCGCTTATACCTGTTGCCAGGTCGTGATCGCGCATAATACGCCCGCAAACTTGTCACAATCGAACGTAATGCAATGTAAATGCTGCCGGCGTGGAACCTTTTACCTACAATTGTCGAATTGCCGCCGAAAAGCGGATAAAGGACCAAAGGTTCCCCTTCAATAATTTAGATTCGGTCAGGTAGGACACGATTATGTTAAGACTTTTCTCGGAAATTTAGAAATAAATAAATAAATCATCCAAGTGTTGATTCATGGAAATATCCAAGGCGAATATAATTAAATTATTGTTATCTGAGTGTAATTTGCATGACGCATTATGCAATCAAATAAAAATCGCGTCTGTTTTGCATCTGGATGTAGAAACGTGAAATGTTTGAAAATGGAGCACGAAACTAGCTGCCACTTGAGTCTTATCTCAATTAGGACTTAATTGGCTTACATTAGCGTTTCAATTTCAATGTTTCCAGAGTCATTTCACATTACAGCCTCTGCTAAAAATAGCAATTTTATCATTTTCAAGTGTCTTCTTCATCTGTGCGCGAGCGCGCGCGCTTCGAAATTGGAATATTCACTATTTGCTAGTTTACGCTGCGTTGTTAATTCCGACGCGTATGAAAACAAAGCGTCGTTAATGCCATTAATTTCGCTCGAGAACAAGCGCTGTTTAATCTGCAATAACTTCTCAGTTACACAATCGCAAAACAAGAAACATGAAACACAGCAGAATAAAAAATATATTTATTTTTATTTTATTCATATTTATTCACTGATTCATCGCTTTTCGTATTTATTTATTTTTTGGTTTTGATTTGCTTTGACTCTGGTCCGGAGTGTATTTGACTTTAATTTCTGTGGCGGCAATTTTTTCCTCGTTATTATCTTTCTCGGCGCTTGCTTTCATGAAATGTAAGAGGAAATTAACAAAAAATACCGGTTGCACACAGCGCCGGCGACCGGGAGCTGGAAAAAAAGATCCACGTGCATTGCACACGTATATGGCGTTTTTTTAGCGTGTCTAACGAACCCCAAAAAGCATTTAAACTCATGCCTCATACAAGTGTGTGTATGTGTGAAGTGCGCGAGGTGAGGTGAAACGCACATCTGTCCTCGCTTTGTGCCCTTCAATACAAGCAAATAATACGAGAAAAAATGCGAATGGGACTGTGAAACGTAAAAGGTAAAAGAATCGATTGTATGGACACGTTAAATACGTGAATGAAAATGAAAATGAAAATATGGGCCACGTTTTTGACCTGCACATTTAAAAACTTTATTTTTCTTTTGGTTTTTAAGAAATTTTCGGTGCGATTTTTATGATTTTTATTTTAAAAACTATGAATAATTGTAAAACTCACATTAATTCGTTGATTTTATGAATATTTCTTGATTATTTGGCGTGGTACTCACCTGAAACACAAAATAATGCAATAATTAGTCGAGTATTATTATTTTCTGGATTAATTTGTGTTCGTGATTCATAGTAATAAGTCCATACACGTGCAATCATAAAAAAAGCATAGTTTGAGCGCTTAAAGTCGTGCCGGTGTCGATTATTACGCTCATTATTTTCGTCTTAGAAACTTAGATATTCCGAGTTTCCGACCGATCTGATGTACCGTACGTGCGTGTATGCCTCCAATCTGAATCAACGAGTAATTGGGATTCGTGCGGCATTTTCTTTTGACTCACTTTCGACAAAAAAAACAACAACCAAACAAAAAGCTGCGGCCCGGCTTACTTCAGGCGCTATTACATAATGATACATTTTAATTGCTGTCACGACGCATGTACCATTCTTTGTTTTAAATAAATTTCAAGCACGCACCGATTGAAAAAGAAATAAGAGAATGTTTACGTGGTGATTTTTAATTATTTTCCAATCGGCGCTAAACAAAACGCCATCAGAATACAAATAAAATTGAAAACTTGTGACATCCGATTGAAATAAATCTCACGCCCAATTAACCTCGACAATGAAATGATGATGAGCATCACATCACAACACAACGCATCACTGACTGACCTTTAAACATCCTTTCCGTGAACGTAACAAAACATGAGTTTCATTATTCTAGTTTATAGAATGTCTGTACACTTGTAGAAGCAAATACAAAACACAAACACGAACGTGAAGAGCACAAACACACCGCACGAGGGTATCAACCCCTCAAGAGTTTTTGGTTAGATCTGATGCGCGCGGTCTCCAAGGAGCTTTTTAACCCCCTTGCAAGATTTTCGCGAGACCCAGGGGTGACTAATCGAAAGGGTTTTTAGTCAAGCACAATAGAAGCCTCTCACTTTTAGATTTTAATTGAAGATGTTGCAATTATTATCGTTGGAGAATTTACATCGCATTGTTTTGCGTTGCGTTGCGCTGCGCGCAGGAAATCACTAAACGCGACGCCTGCGGAATGCGCAGAATCACACACACACAGGATGAGAGGAAGTGCTGGACCAAATATCCTGCTTCTGTGTTGTGTGTTGGAAAGGGACATGTGTAGCTAGTGCAAACAAAATAAATTCGTCAAGTGATATCCTGTCGGTATAAATCACTTTGACTTAGGATTTACAAGGTTTTGTTGATTTGGATAAATTTAAATTGAAAGCAGATTTGCGCATGCGCTTAGAATATTATCGGAAAATGCACGCAGGAGCAACACTCACCTGTTAATATCAGTTTGAATTCAAAATTTACTCCTAGATGTCTTAAAACTTGAATTTTTAAAAGTTTTTCACTTGATTTAAACAAAACTTGAAGAATATTTTAAGTTTATTTGTTCATTGTCACTTAATATTCACTTTTAACTCGATAAAAATTAAAACTAAGGAAAATTTTGATAGTATATAGATAGTATATAGATATTTGATAGTAGTTGATGATGAAAGCTCCGATGCACCGTTTGCAACGTGCAGATGTGCAATGCGCGCCCGAGAGAAATTGAAAACGCCGCTCAATGAACCCAACCCTGCGCCGGTTGCTCACTGCGCAGCGGTTTGTTTACTACCGAAGCGCGTACTCCGTACTACTTCCATGCCCATGCTTGTGCTCATCGTGGCGTAACTGTAACCTCCACCAAAAATGTTCTTCCCACCACATTACTAGTAACTTTGAAGTTACTACTCTGACTGCACAACTCCCGAAACTAAGTATATTTAATTTTATTTAGTTATTTGGTTTTTTACTCTTCTGGAGGACCTTGTAAGTGCTGCTGTAGTAACACCCCCAGTGATCACTACTTCTACTCCCCCTGCACTCCCTCTAATCCATCCGCGTGGTCCAGTGATGCAGAATATTCCATCTCTCGAATTTCGAATATCAAAAAAGGGGAGCTGTTGCAAATCCAACCGATACATAACTTAGCGTTAACTTCACATCACATACACTATTCCCTGAGAGGGGTGGGGGTTGTCCGGGTTGTGCCACGCGCGCTTTCCGATTTTTTTGTTCCTTCCCCAGACACACGACCCCAGACAGCGCGATGACGTTCCGGGATTTATAATTTGCTTCATCTCCGTCGCTTCGATCGCCGTCCTTTGATTAAATGTGCATGGGGGAGATCCAAACATGAGGATATACAGGGTGTTGACAATAATTCTTCTTTAAAATATTTTGAAAGGTTTTTTTCGTAGGTATTTACACCCTGTATTTAATGCATTTCATTGATTAGCATAGTTGGATTTACTTCTTCGATGCGATGTGATGGACACAAGGGTTGGAGATATACTGAGGGTGGAGTTATCTGTATTTGCGCAGAATTTATTATTTGCATATGGGCGTCTTTCGAAAATATAAAACTTAAACGCAGGAAGCGGAAATGTTTGCACGTGTGTGATCGAAATGATCAAAACAAAAAACAAAAAAAAGTTATTTTGACAGGCTTCAATTTTGAGTCTTTATTAGTCTATTGATCCGAATGACAAGACAATTGACACGATGATAGATGAATTAGCCGTATCTAATGCCTCACTTTAACTGGTTCCGAATGCGCTCGTTGCGCGCCGAGGCATGTAGATTTTTTAATCAAATTAATTAAACGTGTCGGACATGAACGAACGTGCGCATACCTTGTGTATCATTCGCGCCTCCAGGGAGACATGCTAGAAATTCCGCACACGTTCCATTTCGCTTGCAAAGTTGGCAGAAAAAAAAAACAGGAATAGAAATAGAAATAAAATGTATGTATGCAACTTGAAGTGCGTGTTTTTTGAGTGTATATGGATGGGTGTGTGTGTGGTGGGTTGCGCAATCAATAAGTAGCAGTAAGTTGTGACTGCAGTGACGTATATTTTATTGGATTATTCGATTATTATTGCCCCGTGCGTGCATACATTACCGGAAGCCGGCAAATTGCCGCGCGCATACTAAACCGACTGATACTTCCGTAAATACGGCGTATAACACATTATCGTGCATCGGGCAAACATATTATTTTAAACAGGTGCGTAATTTCGTAATTTTCACAGCGTAAAACGTAAATATTTTAGATTTTGTGGATTTTTTTGGTTTAAAACCGGTATTTTGGCTTACCGGTATTTATAAAAATCAAAATATTAATATACCTGTATTTATCTATTGAAAAATATCGATTTTTGGAAATAAAAATACCGGTATACCGATAATAATACCGGTATTTCGGTTTTTTTCGGTTTTAATTTTAAAAATACCGGTATTCTTCACATCCCCCAATTTCAACTTATTTTAACTCATATTTTACCTAATTAAATTACATCCCTCATTATTATTTTCACTTTTCGATTAATTCTAAACCCAGACCTGATTGCGTCGTTCATTAAATCCATTCATGTAATGACACGAACGGCAAACAAATTTCAATGGCTCGCAACTCCCAAATGTGACTAGGTACTAGGTATACGCTGGTTGCGGTTGTGAAATAACGCAAACAAACTGAACGCATGTGCGCAGCAATATTGTCAACTCGGCATGAAATTATCTGTACATTCAAAGTCACGCTCTTTTACACACTCTCTTTCAACCCCCCACACCCCGAAATGCACTATGATTTATCGCAAATCATATTGGATTAGCCATGGGCGTTCGCCAAGAGTTTAAGAACACGAGAAGCAAGAAATGCGAGCTGGCGAGCGTATAAGTCAACTCGGATTTGATTCCTGCATGGCTGCAGCCTGCAGTAAACGAGGAACTAATTTAGGGGTGATGGGGAAAGCACGAGGGAGCAGCTCGTGGCCACATTGGAAACATTGGAGAGTGCGTCTTAAATTGGGTTCAATTTTCTTGTTAACTTGGATTGTCACATTATTTGCGTTGATTTATACGGTTGATAATTGGTGTTGCAGATGTAAACAAGGGTATTAGGGGTTTTAGAGGTTAGAAATTTAATTTTTTGCAAGTAAAAATTAATTTCATGAAAAAAACTGTCGGAAAGCACAGAAATTTTAATATTTTTAGTAAAATTATTGATTTTGTTGATAAAAAATGACTTTTTTGTTTGAAAATTTGAATTTCGCGCCTTTTTGATGCGTGTGACGTCATTGTCGAGTTAACATAACCTATTCTGGACGCTAGCGGATGTGACGTCAGTGTTAAACTGTTAAGATTTTCAAAATTTTTACATTTTATAAGAATTTTAAGCGGAAAATGACAATAAAATTAAATTTTCAAGTTAATTTCTCGATTTTATGCTTGACATGTGTCTGCACGTGTAAATTTTAACTTTTGCACAACTCTTGGCAGAAATCCTCACGCGTAATATGTGCAAATGTGAACAAACGCCGCGCGAGATAAATTTGAATTTCTATTTACCTCGCAGCGCACGCTCTGCAATCGAATACCTTACTTCTTACATGCAGCTGGATAATAAAGCCGAGCGCGGAACATCCGAAGCAATTTATTGCTCCGCGCATGTATATGTGTATGTATGTGCTTAAATAAAGCGCACGCGGTTGTTGGGGAAGAGTCGCTAAGAAATTGGGAATAAGAAATAAAACGAAACGCGACTCGAATGAGCGACGAGCATTGTTCGAAACGTGTTTGCGGGGCGCGCATCTCCTCCGCCACCGCCACCGGCGGCGCGCTAAGTTGCAACAGGGATTTAATCAATTTCGCGTTGCAATTTATCGGATTAAAGCAAAGCCGAGAAGCTGGGATAAGTTTGCGGCGAGCCGGAATGGCAAACACCTGCTCGTTTTATCAACATATAGATCTAATTATTCGCATTTTTAACGCAAGCATAAACTAGGTTATAACGCCGACAGCGCCATCTATCCACGAAGAGATAAAATATATATTTATAAAAGTTTGCGTAAAGCGCATGAAATATTCGTTGACGTTTAATGTGAAATTCAGCAGCTATCGGCAGCGAATCAATAATTATTGCTTCGTCGACATAAATTACCACCATCAATTTTTAATGCAAAATGTGGATGCCGCACAACAAGTTGACAGGTTGATATAATTTCTTTAAAACGCATTTAACAATTCCGCACGAAACTTAGCTGCTTCTTGAGAAATAATTGAAAAAGTTTATTTTGTTATTTTGTTATGCGTATAATGAAGTTTTTTTTTTTGCTTCGGTTGATTTGTTTCCCAAGTGGAATATTCAAGGTACTCGTCGGATTAAATGGCCGACGGCTCTTTCTGCGGAGCGCCGGTATGTGAATGTGAAGAGGAACAAGATCTACTTAATGATGTATTAAGTCGATGCGAGCTTCTTCTGGCTCATTGACTATGGCTTTTTTTTGTTCATCGTTTCTTTTTCTGGTTTTGGTTTATTTGCTTCTGTGCTTCGACTTCCACATATCTCGATTAACTTCTTCTTGCTTTTCTCGTTCGTTTTTTTTTATTTGCAAGTTGCTTGCGAGCAAGTTGCAAAGCGTTTTCATTCTCGTTTGGATCCGATATCAGAGGATGTCGACGCACTCGACGCCCTTTCGGCAGCTTGTGATGTCTGCTGTCTTTGTGTCATTTTGTCGCTGGACTTGCGGAGCAATTCGCCAAGAAGTGCAGCGGTGGAACGGCGTGCAATTCGAGTGGATGTATATTGCAAATGAGAGTGATTCGTGACATCGTGAGTCGTTACTTGTGTATTCATCAAGGAAGGATATTGTATATTTAGATTTGGTTTTTTTTTAGTAAAATTACAAGTTTTTAGGAATTCTTATGCAGGAAATGTATTTTTTAATGATTTAGCATAGTTGGAAATATTGAAAATTTGATATTTTCATAGAAATAGTGTTTTTTAAGTAAATTTATGCATTTTATTAAAAAAATATTGATTTTTATTCTATAAAAATTGCCGAGGAACTTAATATTCGAATTATATCATACAAAATTACAAATATTGCGATTTTACGTGGATAGGCAACTGTTTATTCATTTGTTGTGCTGGTTATAAACTCAATTACTCTAGTAAAAATTTTTACTATTTTTAATGATTTTTGGTCTTTTTGGAAGGATTTTTATCCGTTTTAACAGAAAAATACATAAAATACATAGAAAAACATTGTTTTCTTGAGTAAATTTCAGTTTTTGTCCTAAATTTACTGGATTTTTAAAGAAAATCATGAAAATTTGTTTATTTCATTCATTTCTTGTAGTAAAAAAGACTTTTAACTAGTTTTGCTGCTAAAATTATAGCAAAATTTAGTATAACATCTTTATAACAAGGTTTATAAAGATGTCGTTACATCGAGGAATAAAACATAACCAAATATTAACATTTTACGTAATAGGCAACTGTTTAATCATTTGTTGCGTTGGTTATAAACTCAATTACTCTTGTAAAAATGCCGGTAAATATTTCCTGAAGTCTAAATATGAATTCCGCGTCGCTCAGTTGTATTCATTTGTGTTATGTTTAAATGATTTTGTAGTAACGCAACGTGCACCCCAACAAATTAGCTGAAAAATCGTGCTTAAGTTATAGAAATATGCATTGCAATTTGTGTGTATGTTGGGTTGCATAACCACAACAATATTTCAAATGTTACCATCGATGTCATGTCTTTAAAAAATATTCTACCTCATAATTGCTTGAAATATAAATATTTTTCGTCATTACACACAAAAAAATTAATATAAACCAACAAAATTATACAAATATCATCGTTATATAAAGTTTGTCGTTAAATCAATTTACGTTTTTAGCAAAAATACCAAAAATAAACCCGTTTCGAAAGTTCCAGGGCTTTAAAACCTCCCCCATTCTTAACCCTTGTTATTTTTGTATTTATTTTGACATTCTTAAATGAATAATTCACTCCATTCACGTACCGTTCTTAGTCTTTTAATTTGAATCTCTTTGAGTTGATTTAGCACGCACAAAAGTTCTCTCAACCTCTCTCCACGAAGGTGATAGTAGTTTAGGGGTTGATGTTTGATTTGTGTGCAGACACGTGCCCAACTCAGCGGATGCAGCTGCTGCTGCTGCGCAAGACATCACCATTCATCCTCCACGTATTATTTTCACTTTCAATATATTAAATCAAAACATACACGCTGACACGCCACGAAGGCCCACGATGCCCGAATCGAATTCACCGCAAAATATATACGCGGGGTTCGCACGACCGGCGCGTGACTAAATTTTATCCAATTTTATCCAAAAACACACCATTTTGGCATTTTTCTAACATATATCATTTTGCTACTATTAACAGGGCCGGACTCACAAATAATTTCATAAAAAATCAAAAATTCAACAAAAAATAATTTAAAATAAAATAATTTCAAATAATTTTTAAAATTAATATTTTAACTGATTAAATAATAAATAAAATAATTAATTTTTAAATCCGGTTCTGCGCTTACACACAGATTTCTCACCATCTCATAAATCAAAGACTGTCGAGCCGTGTACGTGTGGCATCCTATGCTAGCGCGTGTTTGTTTATTTTTGTACTCTACGTGTGGTGACAACAATGCGCGCTTTATAATAACCAAACGATAGGCCGTAATCGATGAGTCGGCGAATCGTAAATTTTCTACAGATATCTATCGCCGCCGATGAAAGCGCATTAATCGCGCGCCGTTTTTACATAAGTGAGCGTAAAGCCGACATCCGAACATAAAGCATACGCGCGTTTATGATGAAGAGCATTCGATAATTTGATTAACATACATTTACCGCATTACATTATTTACACAAGCCAAATATTAATGCGCGTTATCGCCGTAATCGTACGGCCATAACAATTAATAATAGTGCGACGTGCAAATATGCAAAATGCAAATTACGGCCAAGTTATTAATTAATGTTTTGGCTAATTGTTTGCTTTGTAGAGTCGCTCAAAGTAAACATGCGAACTGAACAAAAACATGACAACTGATAAGTACGGAGATTATTTATTCGTGCACAGTGGACATGTTAGGACATCTAGTGGTAGAAAATGTTGAAATGTTTTAGTGAATTAATTCATCAATCGGGCTTACAGCGACATCTGCAGGCAAAAATTTGAATTAAGATAAATAGAAATATTTTTATTTGGTAGAAAATGTTTATTTATTTACATTATTATGACAAAATAACTACATAAATATTATATTAATATTATTTATGTTTGTATTATGTTAGATTTTACGTGAAAAGGCGAAAGAAACAATGTTTTAGTTTTATTTAATTCTGAAAAGGACATCGTTGCGCCATCTGACGGTGAAATATCGAATTATATACTTTTTGCGACTGTCAGCAAAATTTCGTAGTTAAAATAACAAAATAATTATAAATAAACGTTTTAATTATAATAATTACTTACTTTAACCAATTATCTACTAAAATGAAACGTTTTACTATCAAATACTGAGTGTTTACAACATTTTCAACGTTTTATTGACAATATTTGAATTATTATCAGCAAATTCAGCAAATAAAATTGAAACCCAGGAATATTATTTGACCCAAATTCAACAAAAGTTATTAATATCTCAAAAATCAATTGCGCATCAATTCCAATGAAATAACAAGATGAAAACCGTGCACGTTTTGCTCAAAATGTCAAAAATACACGTCTTATCGCATATTAACGTGCGCAGACAAACTAGAAATGCTCAACATTCTTTCGACACTCATTAATTACCACAGGCGCCTTGGTGTTTATGCGCTATTAATATCTGTTTGTTTGCACCTACGCTCCAATGCTAATTAGAAAAGTGCGTCACACCGCCGCCGGCGGAAATTTTAATTAAACTGCAACAAAACGGAAAGAAAATCCATTTTTGCTGCGTGATGAGTTTATCCATGACGTCACTCATCAAATATATTACATATTAAGTGTGATAAGATAATGTATGACTTAAAAATTCAGTAGGAAAGTACAAAACCAAACTAATTGAATCATTTTCGAAAAAAATTGAATTTATTTATAAATGTGGTATGATTATATGAATATAAATATGCGTTTTGTTTTAAGCGTTGGGAGATAAGCTGTTGAGGCAATTGAAAGTGACAGGATAATTTACGTTTATTATGCCACTGCTTGAGGATAACAGGAGGATTGGAGGCGAGAGAAAAAGGGTTGATTTACGGACGGCGAGTTTCTGGAAGCTGTGCGTGGGGCGGAGCGGAGGTAGCTGCATTGTTAGATGGTCGTGTGCGTTGAGGTAGGCCCACAACGCATACCTGGCTCGGTTTTAACGATCAGGCCGGGTCGGGCCGCGTCTCCTAGTTACAGTTACCTGGGGAGTTGACTCAGGTCGGTTTGATACAAGATAACGAACTGCTTTCATGCTGAGGCGGATTAGTATTGTCATAGGTACAAGTTTCAGGTACTTGAACATTGAATTTGGGATTAATTTTTCAATAGATTAAGTAATTTAGCACGATTATTACGAGATTTTGTTATTTTTAGAGTTAAAAATAAATAATATTCAGATTTTTCAAGGATAGGCAACTTTTTAATCGTGTTTAAGTAATGGTAATTTACATTGTAATTTTTAGGGATGTTGGGTTGCATAACTACAGCACATGTCAAATGTCATATCTAGGTTATAATTGTTTTTACGTCGTTACACAGAAATTTGAAGGTAAATCAAGCAAATTTTAAGAAATTTCATCGAAAATATAAAGATAGAACAATTCTGGCATTGTTCTCTGCGAAACAATAGTTTTTCTGTTATATTTTGGCTCCGATATTAATAATTTTGTATCTTTTAGGTGCGGTAACGATTTCATCCAACGACAATACCAATAAGCGTGGGTGGTACCTTCACATGCAGTGAGCGAGCTTTATGAGTTCCTGGATTCGCTCTCCACACGCTTGTGCTCTTTGGATGGCTTCGGCTCTGCGCTCCGCATTCTCCGTTCGTGTGCGGGGCGGCCAAGTCACGTGAATGACGACGAGCTGAGCGCGCGGCTCCATTGCCGGCCACCATCGCCTCTCGCACTCCAACTTGCGCGCTGCGCTCGGACATGACCACATTTATTACATTGTCGACGGTCGGCGCGAGCGTGCTTCGCAGTTGACGCGGCGCACACACAGCTCTCCGCACGGAATTTTCGCGAGTTTTCGCGCTTCAATGTGCGCCACCATCCAGCGCGCAATTTTCAACCATCGATAAACGTAAGTCTCTACCCATGAAAAAGATTTCTATTGCGTGTTTCGTGTGCGATAAAAAGCGTGGAAAAAAAAGGGGAATCGAATCGTTGTAGAAGTAAAGTCAGAGAGCGGTCCGAGTCGCTCCGGTAGACGAGCCGAGTCGGTTCTCAGAATTTCGTGGAAGCGAGGCCCTGTTTGCTGCCGGGCTGGTTACTTACTTACCGTGTTGCCACGCTAATTTATTGCCACTTTCTAAGCGGTTGATACACACGCAAACTACGCTGAATTCATTCTTACCGGGGCAGCAATTCAAGGGTTGCACCTACGCAGTTACATTCATACATATTCCATATCGATTTCCGCGCCGTCTGACCAATGATATCTGATAGTTTTTAATAGATACCAAACGAGTGTTGTGTTTTTATCAAAATCAATTAGAACCCGAGAGCCTCTAGCGCGCAAATAATTAACGCCCGCTCGCATTGTATGATTGTATGATTGATTGCGGAATCTATTTACATTATGCTTGGCAACGTAGCAGCTGAACATGACCTTGGTTACGGCTGGCAAGGCAATAATTCGACGCGTTCGCAACCAGTAGTCGCGAACGGAACGTGAACGTGTTTGCTGTTTACTCTTGCAGGCAACCGACACGAGAGAGCGCACGATGGCCAAGTGGCAGAAGACGCAGCTCCTCGGACCTGAGTACATCAGCCAGATTCAGCTTCTCTACAGCAACGACAAACTATTTCCGATTGAAGTGCGGCATTATCTTGCGGATTGGATCGAGGAGCGCTTCACGTAAGTTTCGCACAACAAACTCCTGTAACCAATGGCAACCGTTGTATATCATTGTTTTTGGTGTTTAGTTGTGATCCACAACAATGGCAGAGCGATTCTTCACTGGATATTTATGTGAAGACCACCATCGAGGCTTTTATCTTGGAGATAGACAATCGCAGTGGTGTTATCGAGGATTTTCTCACCAAGATGAAACTTGCAACAGCCGTAAACAACTACAAATCATACTATGAGTAAGTTTTCTTTATTTTCTATAAAATAATTAATTTTTTAATAAAAATTTTAATTTTTCAAGGGATAAATATCATAATCTATATGACCACATCAGAAACATGTTGATGGCTGAAGATCGCATCTATCGCGTCGCCTGTGGTGAAATAATCGACACAAATTCGCAGTTCGCCACCGTGGAGACAATGATCGCGCAGCAGTTCAGCCAACTGAGCGATAACACACGCGAGATTTCACAGGATCTTAAACGTTTGGAAGAGGAACAAGAGACATTCGCCATCAATTACCACGACTGCACCAAGTTGAACGCAGCGCTCACAAACATGAACAACACCGAGGCGCAGAAGATCGAGCTGAACAATCGCAAACAGGAAATGGAGATGAAACTACGCGCTGGGATCAGTCATCTGATGGAATCACGCGTAAATATTATGAACAAACTTTCAGCCATCTACGTCGGCGTCAACGAGCTGCAGTGTAAGATCCTCGACGACGAGTTGATTAAATGGAAGCGCGAACAGCAGTTGTACGGTAACGGCGCGACGTTCAACAATAACAAACTCGACGCCATTCAGCAGTGGTGCGAGAACCTGGCGGATTTGATTTGGCTGAATCGGCACTCAGTGAAGGAGTTTCAGCGCCTCAAACTGAAACTCAATCTGGAGACTGAAGTGTCCGATAATAGTACAAAGTTATTGGCGGATTTTACGCAGTTGTTGAGCTCGCTGGTGACTTCAACGTTTATCATCGAGAAGCAGCCGCCGCAAGTCATGAAGACAAACACACGTTTCACAGCGACTGTACGTTTATTGGTCGGTGGGAAGTTAAACGTTTACATGAGCCCGCCACAAGTGCGGGTTTCGATTATTTCGGAGATGCAAGCGAATGTCATGTTGAAGAATGACAAAATCGGCAAGAATGGCGACGCCAGCGGCGAGATTCTTAACAATACCGGTGCAATGGAGTACCAGGCGAGTACTCGGCAATTATCCGTCAGTTTTCGCAACATGCAACTGAAGAAAATCAAGCGCGCTGAGAAGAAAGGCACTGAAAGTGTCATGGATGAGAAATTCTCGTTGTTATTCCAGTCGCACTTTAGTATTGGCGGTGGTGAATTGATGTTCCAAGTGTGGACGCTTTCTCTGCCCGTGGTTGTGATTGTCCATGGTAATCAGGAACCGCATGCATGGGCGACAGTTACATGGGACAACGCTTTCTCTGAACCGGGACGTGCGCCTTTTGCTGTACCGGATAAAGTGCAATGGTGTCACGTGGCGGACACATTATCATTGAAATTCATGGCGGCGACTGGTCGTGGTCTCGATGAGGATCACCTACGCGTGCTGGGCGAGAAGGCATTTAGAGGAACCACACCGGATGCGAATCAGTTACTCAGCTGGGCGCAGTTCTGCAAGGAGCCGCTGCCGGATCGAAACTTCACATTCTGGGAGTGGTTCTACGCTGTGATGAAACTCACCAAGGAACACCTGCGTGGGCCGTGGGTAGATGGTGCTATTATAGGTTTTATTCGAAAGACAACGCTGGAGGAGATGTTGCTGAACTGCCCGTATGGTACATTTGCGTTGAGGTTCTCCGACAGCGAGCTGGGTGGGATTACTATTGCATGGATCACGTCACCCAGGGAGGTGTTCAGTCTCCAGCCGAATACAGCGAAAGATTTCAGTATCAGATCGCTGGCCGATCGTATCCGGGACTTGGATAATCTGGTGCATCTGTTTCCGAACATTAATAAAGATGAAAAGTTCGGAAAATATTATACTGGTAAGTATAAAATGTTTTTTTTATGTAAAAAACATTTTTTTAATACTTAAACTTGATTTTTGTAGAAAATCAGCCCACAAATACGACGAATGGTTATGTCAAATCGAAGCTGATAACGACAATTGATCGACAAGGTGGTGGCAGTATAAACAACACGCCGCTGCACATGACCTCCCCGGAATATTCCAACACGCGGGACACCAATTCAGTAGCAAGGTAAACCACAGTTCATTACTTGTCATTATCCACGCTACATGATACATGAATGCCCTTCTTTATAGATACATGTAGAGTGGAACAGCAGTCGGCATTCACTTCACTCTCTTTTTTGCAAATTTTTTTTTGATAAATGTTTATATTTATACTATTTTTACATGCTTTAACGATTTACAACAAAAGCTTTAATTACGACAAGTATTCCAAAATTTTTTATATAAATATTTACAACGGAGTGGCTCCATGTGAGAATTGAGGTTGTGACAATGCGCTACCCATGTTCAGTGGGTTGCGGATCGTCGGCCAATACACTTCCATTGGAGCGCTCTCAACAGGGTAAATTATATTGACGTAAATCTTAATGTTAACCTAATGAGGATGTTAGATTAGATTCTATATATATATTAGCATGCTGCAAACAGACATAACCAGACCCATCAATCTTGCAACATCATTCAAATCATTCTCATTTCTTTTTTGCAAACAAAAAAATATCAAAAAACAAATGCGTGTGTCTCTTGTGTCGGTTAGTCTGTGTTGCAGTATGTGATGATATGTCTGGTTATGTGTCTGTGCAGTTTTTACTCCGACGCAACCGGCACCACCACCGGCGGGCCCATGGAGGGCTACATGAACTACACCGACATGTTCAATGGCATCGACCCGTTCTCGCCGCAATGAGATGAGTGGATGAGCGTAGATCCCGAGGCGTTTTTTGCTTAACGAAAAGAAGGTAATTTGCAATAGTAGCTCCTACGTTTTTTAAGTCTATTTTATAATAATTATCCTCTGTTTTAAATTGTCAATCTCAGCTTCATCGTTTGCGAACGATTTAATTTATTTTCGGAAACACGCTTAAGAGATTCAGAAATTTATGAAATTTGTTATTATTTCTGCGTTAGTACAAGTACAAAGAAGAAGAAAATCAATTTCCATCCTGCAGACCATGAATATTACAAGAAATATTAATATTGTTATAGCATCATACTAGTTGAAAGATGTTTACCGTAGTTTTACACATTTTACGACTTGATAAATGAAGAAATTGTTAATCACACGGACCTAAATAATTATTAACTATGAAGTAATATGAAAATTAGTCAATATTTTCAAAGAAAATCATCTAGACACAGATATTTTTGCTAGAATGTGAGCACTATTGTGACGCTTACAATGTTGGAACATTTATTAGATATTTTGATCTCTTTATATTATCCGCTAGCGAAGCGTAGTGTTGCGACGACTTCCTAGCGCCACGTGTTGGGATGATGAATACATTGTAAACGCAGTCGCCACCCCCTTGATTATGTGCCTATTGTTGAATTAATTGTTGATTAGCGAACCATTTACATGCTCGCGACCAAAGAGAGGGACAACGAACGCGGCGAGAATTGATATTAGCATTTTTTCAAAGAGACAAGATTGTGCTGCACATACACACACATACCCAAACTCACACTGCATTACTGTATGATAGATGTTTCTATTTCTGTGTAGTGTATTCAAATTACTCTGATATTTTATTATGTAATATGACAGTTTCTCTTTGCGATATTAAGGATTTCCATAATAATAACAGACATCATAAACGTTAACCCACTGTATTTTCTTATGTATTTTGTTCCTGTATAAAGTACATATTGTAATTAAACGTCAGTGTCATTGGGCTTGTCATGATTACATTAAATTTCAAGCACTTGATACCATGTAACAACAACGTTTTATGATAAGAACCGAATGGGTTATCGCGGTTAACGCGAGTAATGCATTAACAATGTTTAAACATATTGCGTGTACGTAGGCAACCAGATGTCTTCGTGCTGACCCAAAATTTTAGTTTGGTTAAGTTGTGAATTACTTTAAGAAATCTTGAAATGGCATTGTTTTTTACGTTAACTAAGTGCAACAAACTTGTCTTCACGCTACAAATCACCAAGAATGGACGCTACTATAGTATTTTATCTCGGCATCGAGATAAAACGAAAACGCAATCATGTTGTGTCGCAACCAGCAAGTCGAATTCAAAAAACACAGAGTGTCAAAACCCAAAGAAAGCAGGTGGTGTTCTAGCTAGAAACCTTCAAAGAATCAAATCCTTTTCATTCCTGCCGAAATCGCAACAAACAAGACAATGTTTCCATCCTGGAGCATCAGTTCTCTCCAGAGAAGATTTATCAGTCACAGAAAAAGCACCGATCACATCAAAACAAATGATTTCCGCAATGCTGCAATACATTTGGCCAGCTGATGATCCAGCCATAAGAAAAAGAGTCTCAGTTGCAGTGGGTCTCCTGGTAGGAGCAAAGTTACTAAATGTTGCTGTCCCATTCATGTTTAAGTATTCTGTAGATTATTTAAATGCTGGTGGCACTTTGAACATGACAACAGCACCCGAAACAGTTGCCACTGTTGTTACAAGTCTCCTGATTGGTTGTAAGTATAACAAACACTCTTGTAATTTAATAATTATTTTCATTAATATTTAATGCTATATTTTAGATGGTGCTGCACGTGCTGGAGCAGCGGGGTTTAACGAGTTGCGTAACGCAGTTTTTGCGAAAGTCGCGCAGAATTCTATCAGAAAAATTGCTAACAATGTGTTTGTACACCTACATAAAATGGATCTACAGTTTCATTTGAGTAGACAAACAGGCGCGCTGTCGAAAACAATCGATCGGGGTTCCCGCGGGATTAATTTTGTCCTCACCGCGATGGTTTTCAATGTTGTCCCAACTGTTTTTGAACTGACGTTGGTATCAACCATACTTGGTATGACTTTCGGCCCGCAATTTGCTGCTATTTCAGTTGGATGTGTTGCTGTTTATGCTGCGTATACTTTATCTGTGACTAGCTGGCGGACCAAATTCAGAGTGTTTATGAATAAAGCTGAAAACGAGGCGGGGAACAAAGCGATTGATTCGTTAATCAATTACGAAACTGTTAAAGTAAGAAATATTATATTAACCTAAAAATATCAAAAATTAATTTAATTTCATTGTAGTATTTCAACAATGAGAAATTCGAAGCTGACAGATACAATCAAGTCCTCAAGAAGTTCGAAGATGCTAGTCTTAAAACAAGTACAAGTTTAGCACTGCTTAATTTTGGCCAGAATGCGATTTTCAGCGCTGCATTAACAGGTATCATGATAATGGCAGCTGGGGAGATTGTTAAAGGCAATATGACTGTTGGTGACTTGGTGATGGTAAATGGTCTGCTTTTTCAACTGTCAATACCCTTGGGGTTCTTGGGTAGTGTGTATCGTGAGGTGAGGCAGGCTTTAATCGACATGCAGACGATGTTTACACTGATGACAATGGATCCTGCAATTAAGGTAAATTATTATTTACTTTTTTAAACTTTGCGTAACTCTATAATATTAAATTATAGAGTAAACCACAAGCGGCTTACATGTTTGTTGATTCGAAAACCTCTTCGATTACTTTCGAAAATGTCAAGTTTGATTATGGTCCTGGTAAAGAGATTTTAAAAGATTTGAATTTTACGATTCCAGCGGGGAAAAAGATTGCTATCGTTGGAGGATCTGGATCGGGGTAATTATATCTTGAAATTTATATAATTTTAAATATTTTTGATGAATTTATTTAGAAAATCAACGATTGTACGACTTTTGTACCGGTTTTACGAACCCAAAGCTGGAAGAATATTGATTAATGGCATGGATATTCGTGATGTGGACTTGGAAAGCCTCCGCAAAGCAATTTCCATTGTCCCGCAAGATTCTGTTCTCTTCCATGACACCATAATGCATAATTTGCACTATGGTGATCTTAAAGCTTCCACAGAGCAAGTAATTGAAGCTACAAAGATGGCGGAATTACATAACAGCATTATTACGTGGCCAAAAGGGTATAATACCCAAGTGGGTGAACGTGGTTTAAAACTTTCTGGTGGCGAAAAACAAAGAGTCGCTATTGCCAGAGCCATTTTGAAAAATTCCCCCATTTTGATTTTTGACGAGGCTACAAGTTCATTGGACTCTATTACTGAACATGTAAGTATAAACCTTTCTTATAAAACTTTTTCTGATGAGTTTTTGTGTTAATTTTTCGTAGCATATTCTAAACGCGCTGAGAAGAGCAACCGAAGGACGCACAAGCATCTGCATCGCACATCGTTTGAGCACAGTGCGTGATGCTGACGAAATTCTGGTCTTAGAAAATGGCGGTGTGAGGGAACGTGGGTGTCATAATGACCTGATTAAGAAACCAGGCAGTTTATACGCCATGTTATGGCAGACACAGAATCAACAAGCGTCAATGCCGCGTGATAAACTTCTATAACGTAAATATTGGGTCCTAGGCAAATTTATATGAGATTTTTAGCTAATAACTTATTAAGTTACTGTTGAAACAAATGAAACAATAAAACTATTGTGTTTAATGTACAGAAGGACCTTTCTGGCACATATCGATAGATGTACAGTGTATTATATTAATTCGTGTGTTTTATGACCTGTTGCCGTGGCTACCACAGTGACAGAATACAAACATGCTCTGATTCCTGCATTGCAGGACGTTGAATGTGCGTAACGCACGCTTTACACTTTTTTTACATTAGATAAATCGCGCCGACGATGGCGAGCGCCTGTTCGAGCAGTATGTCCGTTCAGAAATCCGGGGCTAGTAATATCACAAGCACCACTGCGTCCGGAAGTCGGTGAGTTACTAGTTAAATATTTATGTATTTAACCAGGTGTACATTGATTAAATAATAATGTTATGTTTTTTGTTGGTAGAAAAAAGACTGAGAGTGATTGTTCGAAAAAACCCAGCTGCTTCCTACAACGCAAGAAACCTGCGAATCCTTTGTCGGTGTCTATACGGCCACCGAAAGTTGATGCTGTGAGACAACGTGTTAGGTCTGCCAGGATGTTGAAGATACGTGGATTGCAAAGTCAATTGAACGACGCGAATTTCCACCTGATGGAGCTGGCTCATGAAAATCGCGCGTTGAAATCCACACAGAGAAGACAAGATAAAGCACTTAATAAGTAATTAGTTAATATTTAATTTAACTTTCATATTTTTATCTGTTAAACTTTTTCTGTAATTTATTATTGTTTTAATTTTAGTTATGAAGGTGTAAATGCAGATTTACCAAGACTAATTCAATCACACAGTGAAGAACACAGAATATTACAAGAACGCAATCGTACATTAAAAAGACAACTTCGAGAAGTTACAGACACTTTAAAAGTACGCGATGATGAATTACTTGCAGCAAAAGATCAACTAAAACAACTTACACTACTGGCGAAAGACAAACAATTAGAAGAACGTGCACAGTTAAGAACATCCCTAAACGAAGCAAAGGAACTAATAAAAAGTTATGAATCTGAGATTAGTATTCTTAATCGTAAATTAGCTTTGGAGGTGAAAAACTGTCGCCAGAAGTTGAATGCTGAAGCTGTGAAGTACAAAAAGTGTCAGGAGCAGTTGGCACAGGCTCTTGGACAAGCCAAATTAAACAGTAGTAGTACTAGATTGTTATCTAGACGATATGATAATAGTCCTATCAGTGATCGTAAGTCTACGATGAATTTAAGTTCTAGTACATCGAAAGAAACATTGGATTTAGATGTTAAATTGGAACCGATTAAAAAACGTAATAGTGCTGAAAGTAGGAACTCTTTGACTTCACCAGTTGAGAAAATCAAAGCGAGATTATCAACAACAACAACAGGAGAAGCTGGGCGGGTGCATAGGATTGAAGATTTCAGTGATGTTTTAGAGAAGATTAATTTAGAAGAAGAACACTTGAAGAAATCGCTGCAAAGTGGGATAAAAAGTATAAATAAATTTAAACCGACCAAGTTGGAGACTTTAGTTCAAAAGAGAAATGAATTACAATTACAATCGGTGGAAAAAGAGGATAAAGGATTGAAGATTGAACCGCCTCCACGTCCTCCACCACCGAAATTGATACATCAGCAACAAATTCACGTGGAAAATCAAGAAAATGATGAATTAACACCTTTAAAAGATGAAGACATCTTGGAAAATACAAATATTGCTGATGTTCTTGATCATCATGTGAAAACTTTACAAGAATCCGAAGTAGGTTTTAATTATGCACGTGAAGAGCTCAAAAATATTGAAGAATTAGAAGCGCAAATTGACAGAAACAAACAAACGATAATTCTGAAACGTGAGGATAATGAACTGGTTGATGAGATTTGGCATGAAGAGTATTCATTTAGAGTTGCTAATCATAGTGAAGAACTTGTTAAAAATGGCAAGGATGGTTTAACAAATGGAGAATTAGAAGAAGTCCATGAAACCAAAAAGGATCCGATTGTTGCGTTGGAAAACAAAAAGAAATTGTTGGCCGCTCTGAGGCAAATCGATAATGGTAATAGCATAGAACAGGATACCAACAAACCAGACGTGGACATTGCGCATAACAATAATAATGAAATTGATACTAGGAAGTCTAGATTGATGAAGGAGTTGTTTGGTTGATGTGTATACTAAAGAAATAAACCATACATTTTGTTAAAGTTACATTATTGGATCATTTTGATACATTGAATGTGATTTTCTATGCAAATATTATAACATAGCGTCATCCAGGAGAGATTTGTTGAGTTGTATTTAGAAATTGTGCTATTTATTCTGTTAGGGTGTTTGTTGTGCGTTTTGTGATTTATTCCGTGTAGATGTGAATTTGTTGCGTTCACATAGACATGGTTTAAGTGCAGGTAAACCGCACTGCTACAGGTGCAATCTTTTTTACCACACCTAAAGAAATTATTTGTTGTATACAAATAGCTTTATAATGCGTTTCATAGTATGATTTGTAAATAAATACTAGATGGCGCTATGATGCACTTATTTGCATTAACGAATTTTTGTTTGTTTTGAGAGTAAGACCGCGTGGAGCTGCAGTGTTCGCGTAAATTGTTGTGCGGATAGTTTTTCTTTCAATTTTATTTCTTAAAATGCAGCTGGGCATAACTAAAACTTATAGTTTTGATTTTTTTGTAATAAATTGAGCGCAGCATGCAGTTCTGAGTGTCAATATTTTATTTTTCATAACTTTTTTAATACTTTTTAAAAAGTTGCGACTGTAATATCATAAAACATAATATAAACGAAATAATCCTTCAATAATACAATTAAAGTTTCTAGCATTTACGTTGAAGACTTCAGGTAAATCAAAATAAACATGCAATGCATTTATTTTCGTGTATATTGGTTTATCAACGTTCTCTCACGTTGATACTACCCGATAGTCTTATGCGCACATGGGGTTGCGGGGTGAGACGGCGGAAGACGCGCAGAATAAAATAACAACTCGCACGATTTCTTCACATTCCAACTGGTCTTGAAATGCAATTTTGCCATGCAATATGCGATCTTAAAGTAATACAAAATAAGTTCATTGTTTGCTTGTTTTTGTTTTCGGGTTTATCAACATCACCTCATCGCCAAACTTTTGTGCGCAAGTCCGGCGCAGGAAGCGGCGCAGGGCAACAGTTGTAACGTATTCTTTCGCAACGCTCAGCAGCATCATTCAGTGCGCGACATTCTCTGCAGTTACAGCTCCGTTAATAAATTGCTGAAAATTTATCAAATTAGCAGAAAATTCTTACAAACAAGTGAAAATCATTCCTCGAGGCAGTCAGGAGTAAGTTTCTTGCATTGGTTTCATTTGCGCCTTTGTATTAAACCTGTAATTCGTAAAATTTGCACGCTGCATTGCTTTTTACGGCGTTAGACGCGTTTGTGCAATATGGCCGCGATTCAAACGCCGTTTTCACGTTTGCAACCACCGAGTTGCAACATCATGTAGAAGAAATCATGTACTTGCATTGCATCTAATTGGAATATTCGGATGTAATTTTATTGCGCAATCGACATGAGGTACGGGGTGACCGCAGTTTCACCTTCTCGAGGTGTACGCGGCGAAGTTATCAGTTGCTTGTTTGGTTTTCGCATGTTTCAAACGTTCACTTTGCGGCAGTAGAGTGCCAATTGTACAGCACTGCTACACAAAGAGACGCCATGTTGTTGTTTTGATTTTAAGATTTCAACATTCCAACACTATTCGGCACTGCTGATAACACACAATGTTATTTTTATTTTCAATCGTTTCAATTCTTATCGGTTATTTGTTCTTTAGTTTATATTACATTGCAATTTCTGTTTTATTTTAGTTTCTGCTAGCACGTCGTTCTACATTGTTGACGCTGATGGTGCGCTCTGCGTTCGAGTTTCCATGCGGCTTCTTGAGAACGTTTCGGTTTTCCATCGCAGGAGTGTATACTGAGTATTTACTGGTCTTTCTATCATTTCTCTTTGTACTTAAATTTTCTGCTGTACCCAGATGAGCGTTCAAGGTCACGCACAAGATGTCCAGGATTAGCCAGACTTTCCCAAGAATAGGAACAGGTTTGAACATTGCTGCAAAGTTTTCACAATATCTCCACTAATTTGTAAGTTTTCTGTTATTAATTGTTCTTTCTGCTTGTTTTTCAGGTACATATTCGATTAATTTGGGCATTTTTGTAATTCGGGCGCGTTCGTTATCGGTTTATGTACTTTTTGAGTTTACTAATACCTCACACCTTCAAGTTTAAACTAATTACCTCTTCATATTTTCAAGGTCCATTTATAGATTAATTAAAAGACTTATCCTGTTCAAATGTAACAATCCTACAAAATTTAAAACATTTTTTGCTTTTCTTGATGAGTTTATTTATTTGTTTTTAAATATTTTTCTAATTATGCTTTTGTAGTTTATTCTTTTAAAAGTTTTTGCAGTTCTGCATAATCACCCAATCCTCCTTACCCATTTTTGTTAATAATTGTTTACATTCACAGGGAAATGTGATAAACGTTATTCGCGAGAAACCTGGAGAGGTGTAACGAAATACTCATCGAGTGCGGGTCGCGACGCGGTTGATTATTTTAACAATTTTATAGAATCACGATCAATTAGCTACCGAAGGAGGGTCGTGCCATGTCCCCTTTCACCTGTTAGGGAAAGTACGCGGTGTTTATAAATATTTATCCGAATATTCGACAAATCGAGTGCGGTATGCGATTAAAAAGCCCACAAGTATCGCGTAAGCGTTTGTACGGGGCCTCAACGGACTTCAAGCATCCTACCAGCGGTTTGGACTCAAGATTGTATTATAATATCAACGCCTTAAGTAGTGAGTACACCTGACACCAAACTGGCTGTCTTGTATCTTTATGCGCCAACAAATGCACGTGCATACAATCGTCGGTATAGCGCCGCTTTAAGCAAAGACCCAAAGACAGATATACGAGTATAGGCAGGAGACTGGATCCTAGGGAGCTGCGACTGGACTGCTGAACGACTGCAGGCACGACTGAGCACTTGGCCCTCTGCGTGCACCCTTTTTATACCTGCGCAGCATGCAGTTCTAAGTGTCGATATCTTATTTTTCATAACTTTCATAATCCGTTTTCAAAAGATGCGACTATACTCGTAATACCATAAAATATAATATAAATGAAATAATTCTTTAATAATACAATTAAAGTTTCTAGAAATTACGTTGAAGACTTCAGGTAAATCAAAATAAACATTCAATACATTTATTCTTGTGTATATCGGTTTATCAAAGTTCTCTCACGCTGATAATACACACTTCGGGTTGCGGGGTGAGACGGGGGAAGTTGCGCAGAATAACAAGTCTCACACTATCTCCTAACATTCCAAGAGACTTGGACTGGAATCATGTCATGCAATATGCGATCTTAAACTAATATAAAATACGTGTATTGTTTGCATGTTTTTGTTTTCGGCTTTATCAACATCACCTCAACGCCAAACTTTTTGTGCGCAAGTCCGGCGCAGGAAGCGGCGCAGGGAAGCAAGTTAACGTTCTTTTGCAACGCACGCTCAGGAACATCATTCAGTGCGCGACATTCTCTGCAGTTATAGCTCCGCTAATAAAATCGTTGAAAATTTATCAAATCAGTGAAAATTCTTGCAAACAAGTGAAAATCATTCTTCGAGGCAGTCCAGAGTAAGTTTCTTGCAGTATTTTTATTTGCGCCTTTGTTTTAAACCTGTAATTCGTAAAATTTGCACGCTGCATTGTTTTTTTACGGCGTTAGACGCGTTTTTGAAATATGGCCGCAGTTCAAACGTCGTTTTCACGTTCGCAACCACCAAGTTGCATCATCACGTAAAAGAAATCTTGTACTTGCATTGTATCTAATTGGAATATTCGGATGTAATTTTATTGCGCAATCGACATGAGGTACGGGGTGACCGCAGTTTCAGCTCCGCGAGGTGTACGTGGCGGCCTTGTCAGTTGTTTGTTTGCTTTTCACATGTTTCAAACGTTCACTTTGCGGCAGTAGAGTGCCAATTTTACAGCACAGCTAACACAAAGAGACGCCATGTTGTTGTTTTGATTTTAAGATTTCAACATTCCAGCACAATTCGGCACTGCTGATAACACGATTTTATTTTCATTTCGTTTCATTTCTTATCTGTTATTTATTCTTTATTTTATATTCAATTGCATTTTATTTTAGTTTTTGCTAGCACTTCATGCAACATTGTTGAAGGTGATGGTGTGCTGTGCGTTCGAGTTTTCAGGCGGCTTCTAGAAAACGTTTCGGTTTTCCATCGCAGGATTGTATTGAGTATTTACTGTTCTTTCTATTATTTGTCTTTGATCTTAAATTTTGTTGCTGTTGTCAGATGACCTTCCAAGGTCACCCATGAGATGTCCAGGATTAGTCATACTTTCCCAGGAATGGGAGCAGGTTTGAACATTGCTGCAAAGTTTTTACAATGCTTAGAATAACTTTTAAGTTTTCTGTTTCTAATTGTTCTTTCTGCTTGTCTTTCAGGTACATATTCGATATATTTGGACATTTTTGTAATTCGGGCGCGTTCGTTATCGGTTTATGTACTTTTTGTGTTTACTAATACCTCACACCTTCAAGTTTTAACTAATTACCCCTTAATATTTTTTAAATAATTTTACTCAAGGTCAATTTATAGATTAATTACAAGACTTATCCTGTTTAAATTTCATAGTCCTACGTAATTTAAAACATTTCTTGGTATTCTTGATGAATTTATTTATTTACATTTAAATTTTTCTAGTTATGCTTCTCTATTCTTTTTTTAAACGTTTGTGTAGAATAATCACCCAATCCTCCTTACCCATTCTTGTTAATAATTGTTTTTATTCACAGGTTTAAGCGTTAATTCGCGGGATACCTGGAGAGGTGTAACGAAATACTCATCGAGTGCGGGTCGCGACGCGGTTGACTATTTTAACCATTTTATAGAATCACGATCAATTAGCTACCGAAGGAGGGTCGTGCCATGTCCCCTTTCACCTGTTAGGAAAGTATGCGGTGTTTATAAATAGGGAAAGTAGCCATATTTGGACCATTTTTATATTTTTTGATTTATAGAGCCACATATAAACTGTCAATAAAAATTAAGTAGCGGAAAAGTAACTCACAAGGCTTACCAACAAAATGATATTTTTGGTTTAAGTAAAAATTATATTTATACCCCTCAAATTTCAATTTAAAAAAATTGTGTTTTTGGTCCAAATTAAGAAACCGGTTTCCTAAATTGGACCATGCTTTTTTAACGGCAATTGACACAATAGTAAATTTTAGTTTTAGCAGTAACACAAGCACATTTTGTATAAACCAAAGTGCGGCATTTCATACAGTGGATCATTTCGAAGATTTGTGCTCGTCCACAAGCTTTTCTAGGAGGTCGAAAAAATGATATACGTTTTCCCTGTTAAAACCCCGGTGCCTGTCTTCGGTCCAACTTCGGCAACTTGAAGAATTTATATTTAATGATCAACGACAATCTTAATATAACATAACCTCTCAAAATTAATACTATAAATTATAGATAAATAAAGAAGCTTTCTGATGATAAAATAATAATCGGTAAAACTAACGTTTTAACGGCTTGACAGCTCTTGCACTTACGTCGTTATAATAGATTTGATAATCAATGATACACGAAGTTGTTGACACGACGAAAGCACGCGGCAAGTTGTAACCCAAATAGTTGCATTAATTGTTTATAAATACGAGTAAAACAAGGGGCCAGTCAATTTTTGCATAAACTTCAACAGTCCGCGGATATCGTGGTGGTCCAACTTAGGCGCTGGTCCAAATTATGCTACCTTCCCCTATTTATCCGAATATTCGACAAATCGAGTGCGGGACGCGATTAAAAAGCCCGAAAGTATCGCGTAATCCGTATCGCTCCATTACAGTGCGCGGTAAAAACGTTCAATTCCATGAGGGTTTGTACGGGGCCTCAACGGACTTCAAGCATCCTACCAGCGGTTTGGACTCAAGATTGTATTATAATATCAACGCCCTAAGTAGTGAGTACACCTGACACCAAACTGGCTGTCTTGTATCTTTATGCGCCATAAATGCACGTGCATACAATCGTCGGTATAGCGCCGCGTTAAGCAAAGACCAAAGAGAGAGAGAGATATAGGCAGGAGACTGGGCCCTAGGGAGCCGCGACTGGACTGCTGGACGACTCAGGCACGACTGAGCACTTGGCCCTCTGCGTGCACCCCTTTTATACCTGCGGCTGACCTTCAGAAAGTGGAGGGGGAAATCTTCGAGACGGTGCGAGCTGCAGGGTCGAAGGGTCGAAGGTACCGCGGGCCTTCCCCCACTTCTTTACTGTACCCCACATCAACACTCTGAGTACATCGCAGGTATAAAGGGTAGCGCGCAGTGCGCTTGGCGTTCAGTCGTTCTTATGGTGTTCTCTCATTCTCTCTTGGCTCTTATCGAATCGTTTCTTCGCGTATCGCGTTAGCGCAATCGTCGGTAACGTTTAGTTAATTCCGCGTATAGGCAGGGTTGAATTAGGTTCTCAAAAACAAGTTTCCACTTGTTTGTATAGGTATCATGTAAAAGTATACTCGTAATTATTAAAAATTGTATGACACATACAAACACAATGGTATTACCTATTTATGGTTCCAATGATATTATTCCTGACTGACGTTTGTTTACTATTAACTATTAACAAAGCAATGTAAACAAAGTAAAACTATTGATTATCACTTCATTTATTTCGTATTCATATTTACTCGCAACTTAGTATCATTATTTAAACTATTTGATATTTTTTCTCTTTTTTAAGAGTTCTTTTATAAAAAACATGAAGGAAATTATCATTCCAAAACCCCAAAATGCAAAGATCCCCTTCAAATGGAGCATATTCAAAATAACATTGTTATTGTCAATCGTAAACTCCTGCATTTGTTTTTGAAACAACATGTCTGATTTAAATCTTAACGCCTAAAACAAAACATGAGTACAACTCAAGTGAAAATAGAAATTAACTCACGTCTTCCTCCCAAAATCTCATCAACCCCGCTTCTTCAGCTGTTCGTACAAGTTCTTGTAATTGATAAGTATGCATCGAGTTCTTCCTCAAGAGAATATAATAGTAATTCGTAAACAATTCAGGCGTGATTGGTTTATATTTTCCTTGCATTTGTTGCAAATACTCTTCATCTTCAAAATAATCTCCATTAATTCGTCGATATCTTGCAACAGCATACTCTCTACTCGATAACAATGTCCTAGACAGTTCATAATCACTACGGTTTGAAATCACTACAATTTTTTCGTATAATTTCCGGTAAACTGGCTGAAAATAGAAATATTAATACAATAACTTTTAAAAAACTTAAATTATTTACTCGTTCATCAGTTTTAAGAGGCCAGTAATAGTAATCAAAGAATAATAACTGTAGATTACTCGCAGCTAATTCACTAAGCGTGTTTATATTGTTTTCTAACATTGGTTTCACCATCACGCTAGATAATCTTGAACTATACGCGGTAACTAATAAAACATTAGTGACTAGCAATAACATTACTAGAGACTTAAGAAATCTGCTTTTTTTAATATCACTAGAAAACGCAGCGGGTTGATTAATCAACAGACCAAACATGGTTATATTACTAATCTGTGACTTAGTAAATTTTAGTTTAAGTCTACTACGCAAGTAGACTATTCCTCTTGTTAACATAAAAAGAAAAAGTGATGCCAGCCACGTGTACAAGTCAAAAACTTCCAGAAACATTAGCCAACCATGTTTAACACTTAAAATAAATATTAAAATCGATGAAAATAGGTTATATTTTAGATAATTGGTTTAATTTCATTTTTACAAATAGCGTGTTATGATATTTAGGTACTTTATTATCTATATATATATATATATATATATATATATATAAATTAATTGCTGTTCGTTAGTCTCGCTAAAACTCGAGAACGGCTGAACGGATTTATCTTATCTTGGTCTTGAATTATTCGTGGAGGTCTAGGGAAGGTTTAAAAGGTGAGAAAAATTCGAATAAATGCCGGGAAAATCCTCAAAACAGCTCTTTTCTATAGAATAAAATTTGTCATTGAGATTCAATCATAGTTATAGTTAAATAGTTGAATTCGAGATGGCGCGCTGAAGTGCATTATTGACAAAACTTTAAATTAAAATTGCTAATCTTATTGATAGAATTGACTCTTACTACGAGTATGTCTAGAACAAGAGAGTAAAAACGAAATACATTTTTATTAAACACTGCCGGAACGAAGTCGCGGGCAACAGCTAGTTTGTAATACCTATTTTTGCTTATTTTGCATTTTCACTTTCACAAGTTTATTCAGGGTAAATTTTAATATACCTAACGTTAATTTGTAGGCTAAATTAGAGTTTAAATTGATATTTTGCTTTAAATAACACGGATATTTGTAAAAATGGAAATAAATATTTCATAATTTTATGATTTACGTACGTGGGTAGAGGTACTGAAACGACATAAGTGTAAATAACGGTTTTAACCCCATCTGTTTGCCTACTAGGAAATCCACCATAAACCATATCTGAATATTCTTCATTTTCTTGAAATAAAGAGAAAATCGCGCCTCCGCCAGTGCCATTTTCTTCATCATAGTACCCATAGTCTTCTAAACTATCATTTAAATATATATTCAGAGTAAAGTTGTATCTCTGCGCGTATTTGATGACGATATTGTGCTCGTTTCCAATCGGCTCATCTTAAATTTATACTTAAATCAATTAAAAATCATTATTATTCATTTTATTAAACTACCGGTAGAGTAACACCATGCGAATGGTATTAATGTGAAACATGGTGCGCGTAATTCTCGTCCCTGTTGATTTGTAATTTTATCCGGGAATAGATTATTATCAAATTTAAAAGTAAAATTCTCCGTGTACCAAATATCTAATAACACTGGGTTGTTATATTCTTCTAAACCAATATATTTATGAGTAAACAATTTAAATTCAGTTAAATTATCATTTTTTTTAAGTTTTTCCGCGTAGATTACTAATAAATCTCTGACAAAAGTCAAACTACTTGAATTAAAAAAGTCTTCAAAATTATCTTCATCATTTATAATGATAATATACTTGCGATTATTATACATTCCACTAGTTTCATGATTAATAACAAATTCAGTCGATTCAAACGCATTTCTAGCGTCTTCACACTGCAATAAAAAATGCCTACACCTTAAATGTTTATCAAGTAATAAATTCTCAATTCCCCAAATTTGTCTACCAATAACAGGCACGTTTTTTAAGTGAACTGGACGCGTAGAATTACCCATATCGTCGTAATAATGCAATATACACGTAGAATCATTGAAATATCTTTGAATAATCACTTCAAACAAAATGTTTAAGTATATTAGGTGCATGCTGATTGTTCGATCAGTCGGTAATAAACGTAAACGTTTGTTTAGGCAGCGTGTACATAAAGACAAGTGCTATTTACAATCAATTTAAGCTGTAAATAACACAGAACAGCGCGAAAACAACAAACACTTATGGTGCTTAAATTAATAACTAGATTTGATGTTATCATAGTAAACAACAGTGTAGTGTGCGTGGGAGTAGTCAATAAATAATTTTTATTGTCGTTGGGCTGTGAATATTTTAAAATATGCGGTTCAGGCTATCAGCCGTTGATGTTAGGCGCGTTTTTTCTGGACATTCACGCATATCTGACGCGGAACGGTTTTTTCGTTGTTTGGAGTTTTTCCACAGCCATTTTCGGCAGTCTTTCTTCCATCTGGTTGCTATATCTGTGGATGAGTATTGTATGCCGCGATAGTTGAGCATATCCTGATTGACGATGAATATTTTATCCGTGGATATTTCTTTTGTGATGTATTCGCTTTCTTTTGTGAAGATGGCGCTGTCTGAGAATAACTTTATGTAAAAGTTTGGGTTTATCTGTAATTATTTTATTTTATTACTTAATTAATTATTTAAAGATATTTTTATTGGTTTTTATTACCTGCTGTTTAATTAACTCTAAATTATCAGCAAATTTGAGCTCTGGAAGAGCTCCGGTGAAAGACTTTGATTCTCGAAGGATAGTGTTTTGATTGCCATCATTTAAATCGAAATTTGACACTGATCGCCGCAAACCGCCGTTATTTGCGTAAAGATAATCATCATCAGGCAAATCCATTAAAATTCAAATTGCAATTTTTGATAAAATAACGATTTCAAACTGACTTTATATTTTTCAAAACAATAATTAGACAGATTCAATGTTTGATTTTCATTTATTCTGAAATTCAACATAGGCAACCAAAAATACATAAAAATTACAATAAGAATAATCTGACAGCAAAGTGACACTTTATTCACTTGCGAAATAAATTTGAAAGCAGTCGCACGATACTCATCCACTTCCAGCAGTAATTTCCAGAACAGCGTTATCGCGACAACAAAATCATTAGGTAAATAATTAATTCCCCTTAGAGAGTGATAACTTTAAAATTTTGAGATTTTTACTAGTAATCATTCATTTCGTCAAATTGCATCACAACATAACCATAAACTGCGCACTTTGCTGCTGCACTTTCTAGAATCTCTCGTGCTATATATCGTGCGTATAACTAATAGATTGTTTTGGGCATTTTGTCAGTATTCAATAACATGGCCTCTCTACTTGTCACGCGGCTCTGCTGCGCGCCAAGTCTTCGTGTATCTGTATCACGATTTGTTCCCAAGAGAACAATCATCCGTAACTTTGGCAAAGATGCCGACAGAGAATTTGTTGAAAGAAGCGCACGGCGAAGGACCATTCGCGAACGCGCAATGGCTCCCACTGAAGGCACACGTAAGATAATTATTTAATACAAATAATTACATAAATATAATTAAAATTTTATGAAAAACAGCGTTTAAAATTGGTGCGGGCGCTGTGGCCGGTGGTGCCGCTGTTGGTTTAGGCGCATTGTGCTTCTATGGTCTGGGATTATCAAATGAAGCAGGCGCGTTGGAAAAATCAGCGTAAGACGAACCAATTTAAACAAACCCCAATGGTTTATAATGTTATAATTTTAGTATCTGGCCGCAATACGTAAAAGACCGCATAAAAACAACTTACATGTACTTTGGTGGTGCTCTTGCAATCACCACAGGCGCAGCATTCGCCGCGTTTCAATCACCGGCATTAATGCGAGCTGTAACAGCCGGTGGTCCAATGGTAAACACAAAAAATTAACAAAAATCCATAAAAATACAAAAAATAACAATAAATTTATAAACAGGGAATATTTTTGAGCATCGCTGCGATTATGGGCACTGGAATACTCGCGCAAAGCATTGAATATCGCCCTGGGTTTGGCGCAAAACAAATGGCATGGGCATTACACGCTGGTACAATGGGCGCCATGTTGGCACCGCTGTGTTTCCTCGGCGGCCCGATTCTAATCCGTGCCGCATGGTACACAGCCGGAATCGTTGGCGGTTTGAGCACGATTGCTGTATGTGCACCAAGTGAGAAATTCCTCATGATGGGAGGACCTTTGGCGATGGGTCTGGGCGTTGTCTTTGCTTCCTCGATTGGTAGTGCGTTCCTACCACCGACTACAGCATTAGGTGCTGGGTTATACTCGATTGCGTTGTACGGCGGACTTTTGTTGTTCTCTGGATTTTTACTGTACGATACACAGAGGATTGTCTATCAAGCCGAACGACACCCGACATCACCCACGATGTATGGTGTACGGCCTTTTGATCCAGTCAACGCGTAAGTTTTTATACTTACAAAATTTTAATTCCCTTAATATCTTGAAATATTATTGTAGCGCTTTGTCTATCTACATGGACACGATCAACATCTTTATCCGAGTGGTGACGATCTTGGCCGGCGGTGGCGGCAACCGAAAACGATAAATAATTCCCCTTTTAAATCCACACCACTTACTTAAATCTATATTTTTATTATTTCAGCATTGAGCAGGAGGTTAATAAATATTGAAATAAAATAATTCTCAGCTGTAAATATTTGACTAACTATATAAATTTAATTAGGAATCATACAGGAAGTTTTCTTTTGTTAATACGTACTGACATGTTGTATCATTCTTAAAACAGCAATGCGATATGAATGTATAATGTGCTGATATTATAATATATCAAATTCTATGTTTCTTGTCAGCAATGTCGCTTGAAAGCAGATATTTATATACAGTTTACATTCAAAGCAGTTGTTGGTAATAGTTGTCGATGAAATATTTTACAAATTGGTGTTGAACATCTTACATAGTTTTTGTTAGTTTCATTTCGTTAAGGGGAGAAACGTTTATGGCAACCAAACATTGTTCTAATCGTACTTTCATTCTAAAGCTAAATAGTAAAATAATTATCTTGAAAGTACTCGGATTATTCTAGTCACTATCTTTTTTACTATTAGTTTCTTTAACTCTCGAGATACATTTTCGAAATTAATGTAAATGATATGTAAATCAGTCTAACAAACAATCAATTGATCATAAAATCTAAAAACTAACGGTTTCACTGTACAAATGGCGAAGCGAGTTTTATTCATTTGCTTTATTTTTTAATTCGCGTAAAGTGCATAGGTGATGATGGAGCTGGTGATGGTGGCGATGCGTTGTTATTCGAGGGGAGGGTGTGATCCTTGATTATTTGCTCCTTTGCAGCACTGAAATCACAAAGAAATTAATTTTTTAGTAAAAAATCAGTAAAAATCTCTTTAAACTTACAGAAAACGCGTTAAATCTTCAATATCCACCAACATTGAATCTTGTTCCATGTGTAAATCATCCCTCGCCATCAAAAACTTCACCAGACTCTCGTTGAGTATCTCAATTTGTGTGTGTAGATCATTAACGATCACTTGTAACTGCGCCACGTTCATCTCCGTAAGAATTTGTCGCGATAATCGGCGACGATCTTCCGGAAATGGAATCCCGACCTTTTCCATACTGTGTCGCACCATTTCCGTGATGGGGCTCTTCTTTTGTCGCTGTCGTTCAATCTCCATCTGCATCCGCGCCATTTCTTTGGCTTGAGCGAGCGCCATTCGCGCTTCTGTCTGTAAACGCGCTTGTTTCGCAAAGAAATCCGTATCGGTCATACTCGCGGGTAAAGATTGCGGCTGTTGAAGACCAATCGAAAGTGTAGCAGGTCTCACAGGCGGTAGAGACTTTTCCTTCTCTTCTGGAACTACCATCTTAGCTTGTTTTGGTTTACCCAGTGTACATTCTGAATCAGAACTTGGGCTTTCCGTATCCGACGCTGTTTCGTTCATGAAACATATCTGTAGATTCATGCCACTTTGAAGTCGTGCTTGTAAGCTTGGTTTCCTCCCCGGGCGATCACATCCGTTGTAGTAATCTTCTTCATTGCCCATTGCAAGACGTCTTCGTATTTCTTCACGATCAGTGCGTCGCTAAAACGAAAATCGCAGTAAAACGTTAGTTAAACACATTAGACTGAATCATTTGTAGTTTATAAATGTAAAATGTAAACATACATCGTATTCGTCATCGGAAATAGTAATAACTTTGATAAACCTATCAACTATATTATGCTCATCTAGTTTAGTAGGCACATAGGGATACCACTGCATGTTATCTGTAATTGATGGCCACATCTGTCCATTATAGGCACGCGGAGATAGAAATTCATTGCTGTAGTAATCATTGTCGCAATCACACGCGTTTTTATTCGACGGTTTGCTTCGTATACGCGCTTTGATTTTACTCTTTATATTGTCGGTTAGGTTATTCGTTTGCACTTTGAGTGAAGCGATGAGATTCTCAAACATTTTTCTGTATTAACACACAAACAACGACGTAAATAAACTTTATGTCGGAATAAAACACTGAAGTGCGTCAGCGGCGTTGATACGGAATTTAATAACCGTGCAGTCTGATTGAATTTGTTTTTACAGTGGCGCGCACATGATAAGTAAAGAGCGAAAGCGTACGACGCGGTAGACACACAAAGGAATGCGCGTCGCGCAAAGTGTTGTTGAAGGTCGTTGCAACATTGCAACCGAAAGAGACACAACACACGCGACAAATTCAAACGCTGCTAGAGCGCACGAGTGAAGAAATGTTTTTGCGTATGAATGTCGTCGACTCGACGCACGGTGTAAACAATTAACGGCCAATAACCGCCACTGTACACACGACACACAACAATGGCGTCTGACGATAATAAAAACATAAAACATTGAATTACGTACGTTCGACACACGCAATCAATACGGTTATTACGTGTATAAATAATTCCGACCACGTGGATGACGAAAATCGATTTAGTTTACTTACAGCGTCCAAACTTTCCAACGTGTCGTCCTCATCGAATGTCAATGTGTACAGGTCGTTTAGATACATCGAATCCTTTTTGTAGTGACGTTTGCGTTTCATCGTGTAACCGGACATGATTTTAACTTTAATCTTTCTTTTTATAAACTTATTCTTACGGCGGTAGAGAGACATATGACTCGTGGCGATTTTTGTTGGTTTTTTACTGTTGGTAGCACAACGCGGTGATGTGCAGCTTACCGTGACTAGAGTAATAAATATTCCCAAGCCGACGAAACAACGGTTGTGATGTAAACCGTGAGCCAATCGCAGAAAGCGTAAATTGCCCTCATTTTTTTCTTCTTCTCTTACTTTTTTTCTTTAAATTCAAAAACTTTTTGTATATTTTTACTCACCCTGCGTTCTTCTTCACGCGCAGCACGAAGATGTGTCTCTATAACTTCCAAATCGATTTTTGGCATTGCTGTCTCAATGTTGTACACATCAAAACCACCTAAAAATGATCAAAACATTAATATCTTAAATTTTGCATTGGAATATTTCATACCTAACATTTCCGGTGATGATTTCTTCCTGTCTCGGGCACTTAGCGGCAAGGACCTGCGATTTAGATTGTCCCTACCCCTTCCGACGAGCTCCCGTCGTGGGATGCTCATCAAACTGCCGATCTGCTGATTATAATCACGTCGCTTCTTGACATAGGTCTCTGTTCGTTCCTTTTTACGCGGTACTGCACTATCCTCATCTTTTTCCTTCTCGTCTTTAGTCTGGTCTTCCTTACAGAACTTTTCAATCTCGTCGAGCTTATCCGCCATTTTGATTTCGTCATGTTTCCGATTCGAATCGTCCAACATAACCTCCATTTTGATGTGTAACTCACACTCGGGGAGTTTATCCTGCGCATTGGAAAGAAAAGCGTCTGATAATTTCTCGCACTGCATTTTCTCAGACACAATTGTTACAGATTCGTGTAGAATGGGTTTTTCTATGACTTCCGCTGTTTGAAAAACGAAAGGTTGTTCAATATTCGGCTCGATGTTGTATTTTGTCGCGGCTGGTTGTAAATCAACAACCGCAAGCTTTTCGCAGGCTTGTTCAAGTTGGTGTTCGACAGCGTATTCCACCTGGTAAATTAATCCCAATTCCCGCTCGACTTCTTCGCCGAAATTCCCAACAATATTACCGCAGGATAAACTTTCTTTGATTTCTTCTGTAGCTGGCGGTTGTTCACAGATGTTAAACACTGGTTTATCGTAGAATACTTTCTGGATATTCTCGACACTATCCAGACGATTAACACTATCGATTTTATCGTTGACAGTGTCAATGGTGATGCTTTGATTGTTGTTGTTATTCACGTTCTGTTCGGTGACGTAGTCGTCTTCGGAATCAAGATCTAATTCTATGTCTAACGTATGCGCGAGGTGTTGAAAGCCCGGATAGTTTGGATTGACGATTCCGCGTCCTAGATGCAGATTCCCATCGTCTGAGTCCTCGGAGTCGGAGATGTCAAAGGCGCGGTCTTCGTCCTGCGGTGATGCGTCCGCGGACGATGAAGATTGCGCCTCCTCGTAGTCCAGGAGGCTATCGTCCGGCGAGGATGCCGGTGTCTCCGCCGGCTTGCACCTCAACGAAACAGCCAGCGTGCCGTTGTTGATGTTGAGCGGACGGTGCTGTAACAATGGCTGCTGTGACTTCGTCAACTCGCCGTTGCACCATTGCACGTCGACAACGCCGCTGTTGATGTTGTTGTGTGCGTTTGTCTGCTCATCGAGGACGGCGGTGATGGTATTAGTATCGTTGTCGATCAGATTTTCCGTATGGTTGATACTCGTGTAGTTATTAGTCGTCACGTTACTGTTTTGTATCGTATTCAGACGTTTTGGGGAATTCAGGACGTTGTGGTTACCATTGCGAACCGAGAGTGGTCCGTCCATGGACGTCTTCAGACGCATCTTTTATTTCTACAACAAAAATCATTAAATTAGTTTACATAACCTTATTTTAAAACACTTTTTGGTGTTTGTATGGGTATAGGAGTTAGTTCATGAAACATTCAGGCGATTCAGGCAACTTGTGATGCATGTATTCTTTATGAGTTGCGCGCACGGAGTCGGAAACTGTTGAGTTGGGTCGGATACGCGTCCATTTCTCAAGCTGACAGATCGTTGTTAAACATTAATTACCCGTAGGCAACCCAGCGAACTTTAGAAACCCACAGTATAAGAATACGAATAAAAATAGCAATGGCATCATTGAAATTTTTATTTTGCAGTTATAAAGTAGTCGCAATTTAATTAAAACCAACTGCGCCAGTTGTGACCGTGACGTAATGAATTGACGCATAATTCCTTAATTAATTAAAAGTTATCCGGCACACCGGACACGTCCCATTGTGCTGATATAAGTTGATATGAAAAAAAAAAACGCAGCGTGTTGTACCGAATCGATTTTATACTTTATTTTCACCGTCAGAGAGTTGGGTTTTCTGACGGGAACAACCTAATTTTAATTTTAAACTCCCCGAGACTAAATTTAGTTGGATGAAATAATTTGAATAGTGAATCTGGACTTATAAAATAACCAATGAGGTCACTCAACTTTATATATTGAACTTGCATCATGTAAAAAACATCTTTTAGGTTTTTTCTTTTGTTTGTTCAATTTGTGGGTTGTAATGTATTCCGACCTACGCAATGTAAGAATACGTGCATCGTCAGCAACGTCTCAAATTAAAATTACAAATTGCAAGCGCAAACTTTAATTAACGCTTAATTAAGACGAGCATACTGCGCCGGGGATTGTGTTGTGTTGATTCATTGTTGATTGTTTGTTATCAAAATGTGGTTGGGTTTAATATTTACGGCGCGATAAGAAAAACAATAATCTGTGCCAACCACAAACTGTGTTTCTGGTCGTATACGTAAAATAACAAAAGTTATTTTTAATAAAAAAACAGCGTTATGCTCGCAAACATGACATGTTTATCAAAAATGACAATCTGTATGTGACGAACACCGCCTACGCATGTTCGCAAGGGATGAATGTAGGCTTACCGCGTGACATTGTTGATTGTTTCCTTTTTTTCTGCACAAAACCAAACACGCAATTCACTCAATGTCCAAATTTAACTTGGTGTCACTTTTAGAATTAAATAAAAGAATAGAAATGTGTGTAGTAAAAATTATAACGTGTGCGTTGACAGTACGCGTATTAAACTGGAACGGAATTGTAGAGTATAGTGAGTTTAGTTGAGTTGCGCCGCGGAGCTGTTACTGCCGGCACGAAATTATAATTCAGCGCGAGACGCGCGCGAATGGGAGATAAAACAGCTCACACCACACACGCCACACATGCTACGTACACCCACACGCGTATTGTCTATACTCGTATGTGCATGGCCATGTTGCGCACTTGTTTGTTTGACACAGCGAGGAAAAGGGAATCAGTCTCTAAACATGTCCTAACAGTTCTCATTTCTCACCAATCGTCATCAAGTTTTACGAGTATTTCAGTACAACTGGGAATTTGTTTCAAGTATGTTTGGTATTTCTAATCTAAGAATCTCGAGATTTAAACAATGTGGTAAACTAGGACACTGTTATTTGTTGTTTGCGGTGTAGGTATTTGTACAGAACGATTGATTGTTTGTAGAAATTTTAGTTTTTTGAGGTTAATACCGGTATTTTCGGTATATTTTTCAATTAAAAAATACCGGTATTCAGAAATTTATTTATTAATATTTAAATTTATATAAAAATTAGAAAATATTTGTTTTTGACAATAAAAATATCGGTATACCGGTATTTGTACCGGTATTTATTAGTCCTCATCGAGATATCGGTATAACAGTATATTTTGGGAAGAATATTGTGTTGAAAAATATCAGAGCTTGAAAAAAATACCGGTTTATCGTTTTTGATACCGGTATTTCTTACTCCTTTCATTTTCTTGTTATTTTCTTCGCTTTACTTTGCTTGAATTCAATCAATAGTCAAACCGATTACTTCCCTACAATATTTATTATATCGACTCGGCAAACGCCAAACAATCTAGTTCCGCTTGTTTGTTCACCCCACACACTCAAATTTATTACGCGTGGAAACCTAATCTGTTTAATTTAAAAAAATACTTTTCACTTCTTGTGTCTCGAATCTACAGTTAAAGTCAAAGTTTGAGAGTGTTTAGTCAGTCACTCAATCATTCCACTGTCTCCGTATGACTGTGTCGGTTGTAACAACTAATTGTATGCTCTTGTCGATCAAAATGTTAAATGTGCGCGCGCTCCGCTTTTGAATCTTCTCTCCACTCTCGGCGAGCACTCTGGCGCACCACTTTGACATGTCAATCAAACCGGAAGCCATCGTAATTCATGGCCCGCGGGTTCATTCACATTATATTCAACACATCGACCTGTCGTCTGTCAATTTGCAGCACACGCGAGTGTTTTGTTCGTTTTGTCGAATAATGAAAAAACTTTCCGAGTTTTTTTTTTCTCTCTGAGTTCTGTTTTGTTTTTCAATTTGTAACAAAACAATAGTCAATGATGATTTGGTTCATCTTTTTTTTTGTGTTGAGGGGAGGAGTAATTGACATTCCGACAATGTATGTACTCGTACAAATTCCAAATTCGGTTATGTGCGCGGAATAACGGAGTCATTTGAATGTTTTTCCACTTTATTCGCGCGACGAATAACATTTTTTGCCGATGCGAGTTTCCAGTTTGAATTTCCCCATTGAATAATAATATTAAGTCAACGTAAATGTATTACCAATGTTGGAAATCGTGAGAAAAATCGTATTTTGACTTTATATTTGCTAAAAAACACATTTTAACCTCAAAATTTAGGTTTTTCGGTTTCTAACCTTACTTTTTGGCATGTTATAGTCATTAATATATCGATATTTGGTGAAAACAATCGAAATAACTTATTTTAACCTCAAAATTTAGGTTTTCGATTTCTAACCTTACTTTTTGGCATGTTATAGTCATTATTATATCGATATTTGGTGAAAATAATCGAAATAACTTATTTTAACCTCAAAATTTAGGGTTTTTGGTTTCTAACCTTACTTTTTGACATCTTATAGTCATTAATGTATCGATTTTTTGTGAAAATAATTAAAATAACACATTTTAACCTCAAAATTTAGCATTTTTCTTATTTAACCTTACTTTTCATGAAGTTTTTACATGGTAGCACCAATAAAATCGATTTTTAGTGAAAACAATTAGAATCTTTGGAATGTAATTTTCGACCGAACATTATAGCAGACTACCGCCATAAACGTAATTTCCCAAGTTCGAAATTAAACGCCTTTTACCAAAGACGCACATCTATTCTGCTCTAGTTGGTGGTTGTCAGCCGAAGTGAATGCGAGACCATTTATTCGGCACGCTATGCCCACCTTGAGAACCATTAGCGGAAGCGCGCGAAATTTCCACTATATTAGGCGTTCGTGGTCCGAAAAGCATCCTCTAGCCCATTTCGCAACCCACCCACACACTTACACCTACACATATACTCATACTGCGTTAATTCTACTTGTCTTACTCTTTACTCTTCACTCCACACTCTATACACACACGTCTGTGTCGAGGGAGATATCATTTTTCATTTGTGCTTCACTCCGAAAGTCTTTTTGAGGAAAAATAAATTATAAAATGTTTGTGTTTCGGGTTTGTTGCGCAGCAGGACTGGTGTCGCGTCGGATAGAATTAAGTTCGGTGGTAATCTGATTAGGTGATTACTTCCGATAGTTTCGCAATGCGCGTCCCGCCACAGCGGAATGTTGGATGTGCGCAATTTGGTTACGAGTTGCGGAATAGCGCCACGCCATGCCCTCCCACGAGTTGTTTATCGCTTTATAAACCGATCGAATCAATGCTGATCTGATTTGTAAAAATCTAATTACGCTCGCTGCTACGTCGAAATTAAATTCAACTCACAATGAGATACGTCTAATTATAAAATCTATTCAAATCAGATGGAAATATGATAATGTTTGATGCTTAAATTTGCATAACTTTGAGGTTATAAATCATTATAACTTGGAAGTGAGAATTTTTAACTTTTGAAACAATTGATTGAGGTTAGATTAGCTGAAATTTTGAGGTTATAAAGCAATATAACCTCGAAAACCTTTGTAATTGTTAAAAACACATTTTAACCTAAAAATTGCATGATTTTGAAGTTATAAGTCACTATAACCTCAATTTAAGAATTTTTCCCATTTGCGACATCTGTTTTTCAATATTATAATTAAGATTTTAAGGTTATAAATCACTATAACCTCAAATTTTCTTGTTTATTTGAATTAACTTAACCGTACAAGTTAATAGAGTAAATGTTTTGCTGTGCAGTTAATAAGTAACAAACTCCTTTTAAAGGTTCGGCTTCCTTTTGCTGTTTTAACGGACATTTTTACGTCCGGTGTGTGGGCAACTGCTATTACAGCAGCCGTTACTGCGACAGCGAAATGCCATCGTAAAAGAGACACCACAAAGCAGGCTAATGCCTCCAATGCAATTAAATTAATAAATTTCACTTCATTCCGCACATAAAATTAGATTAATATCAACAACATCAACAATATCAACTCGGATGAATAATTAATCAAATATTATTGTTGTTATTGTATAAATATATGAAAAAACCTTGACCTAGTGCATGCGTTAGCCCTGCAAACACGGAAGCGACTCACATTTGACATTTACCCTGCGCAATATCCAAAATTTCAATAATTCCACCGCAGGAATTTTGATTACAACAAAAATTAATGAAAATTTATTGACTTACCAGTAGCCATGATGATTTTTGTATAATTTGTGTCGCGTTTCTTTGATTCAACGTGGTGTTTTACCACCTGTGCGGGGCTGGTGCGATGGCGACGCCCTGACTCGGCAACCACGTTTGACGGAGGCGCCGCGACGCCGGCTGATGCGCGCGCTCGCACGCATCCCCACCCGATTTGAAACCGCCACCGCCGCCGCCGCTGCCGCGCGCGGAAACATATTGCTACACACCGGGTTTCACCGCAAAACCGAATCCCGCAAACATAATAAACACATTGCCTTAGCGTTTTTACGCCGATAACTTTTCCCTCCCGTGTGTAAACACTGCGAATAAATTTCAAACACGCTGCAAAACATGTTCGATTAGAGTAAATATTGATATCGTAATAAAAATTTTAGAAATTTATTATAACTTTAGACAACATCATAATAAGCGCGCGCGCGGGTTTTACGAAAAATCGAATTATGTCAGGGCGATTTATCATCACCAGCATGTGAAGCCGCGGCTTCAGTCTTATGCGTTTATAAATATTTCATGTTTTATCGATTTTACATTTGACTCTCCCCGCCGCTTCTTCAAATAGTGTGCGACGGCGATGGCGGCGGCGGCAGCCGCACTATTATTATACTCATCGTCACCGGTGACGGCGGCTTAAGCGCTTTTCAAACGCATTAGTGGTTTGCGCCATCATTCAACTTTTATGAAAGTCATCACATGTTAAAAGTTATCCAATCGCTCGTAAATTAAGTTTAGGGTGTAAAAATTGATGATATAGGCAACCAACAGTACATAAACTAAAAAACATCAATTTAGCAAGTTACAATTCGTAATATAAAGTTGAAATAATATTTTCCCAAGGATGTGATCAGTCATTTTATTGATTCACATTGTTTCTTCATTTGACATAACCTGTAACCGGATCTCCCGGCGTGTGTAGTGTGTTTATCCAGCTCATCCATTTTCCTCCCGAGTCTGCGGTATGTGTAAACCCTTGGCGTTGCTATAGATTCGTCATAGTCGTGCGTCAACTACCTGTTAGAGTAACTAGAGTACCACCAGCGAACGAACGCAGTGAACCATTAAATAATTCATCAGCCAATAAAATGAATAAATAACATTAAAACGTTTTTCACGTCTGTATTCATAGTGTAACGATATTTATCCGCGCGTATAGGTATTGTATGACGCCGGTGGCAATTTGCGTAATTAACGAACGCATAATACACGCGTGGGGCGGTAGTTAAATTACCATTACCCGAATTAGATGAACTCCACCGACGGGGGAATGATTCAAATGCTCGTGAATGTTTCACATGCACACTGCAACACGATAATTGTTCGTAATTACATCGTGTTTGCTCATTGAAAGAAAAAAAGGAGAAAATTTAAATTAAATTAACGCGATTTTTTGTTAAATTAAGTATTTCTCCATTGCGCGACGCGCGTCTAAAACGAAATATTTTATTCATGCTGCGTTTTCCCCGTCGA